CAAGGCTTTGAGGGGGACATGGTGGCACCTCTGCCCTCCCAGGACCTGGCAAGGGCTGTAAGCAAAGCCTGCCTGGCAGCAGTGAGCCTGGGCCACCACGAGGCTGTCCTGGTGAGGTCAGCGGGTAGAAGGCACACATTGGGCAGCAGCCGGCACCAGCAGGACCTCTCCCTGGGCTGCCCTTGGGGGCGGTGCCAGCTAAACCACACGTGGAGCCACAGCCCGCTCAGGCCAGCTGTGCCCACCGTGCGACACTCCCCAGCGGCCCACCCCTAGGCTCTGAAGTGGGAGGCCTGAGCCAAGGCCGTGTGCACACCTGCGGAGCCTACAGCCACCGGACTCCCAGCAAGGACGAGGGTCCGGCAGGCCCAGGGAGATCCCAGCAGGCGGTGGTGCCGTGCAAGGGAGGCTGCCATAAACTTGGTGCCCCTCCAGAGAGGAAGGGGGGCTACCCTGACTCCCGAGCCCACAGCTGTCCCCAGGAGCCAGAGAAGGGGAGCAGAGGCGATCCCTGCCAAAGAGGGTGGTGGCAGCAGTAGGCTGCTGCCAGTTTGGGGATGTGAGGACAGACAGCAACTATGCCACCCATTGCCAGAGGGCCGGAGCCATCCCAGCCCCATGGAGGAGGCGCCGGCAGAGGGGCAGGGGCGGGCTCAGCCTCCACCCACGTGTCTGCCCGGCAAAGACCTGGGACAACAGCCCGGCAGCCGGACCCCAGCAAGCCCTGTGCCGCCACCGCGGGGCCCACCCCACCCACCCTACCAACCATGTCCTATTAAGGGCATCGCCGCGGGGGCTCCGCGGAGCGCGCTCGCTCCTGCCCCGGGCGCCAGCGGCCGCAAGGGGCCAGCCAGGCGGTCGGGCTCGGTTCGGCGCCCGGCTCTGGACCGTTTCCGCTGCCCAGGTGGGCAGTGGTCAGTGGCCAGGCCAGCGGGGTGGGCAGCGTGCCCACAGCGCCGGTGGGCGGCGGCTGTACCTCTGTACTTCTCCCGGACCTCCTCGTAGGCTTGGATGAAGTCGAGCTCCTCAGGCAGCGGGCCGTGCGGTAGTGGGGCGGCCATGGCCAAGGGCGCGCAGCTCGCACGGGTGCGGCGGGAGCGGCCCTCCAACCCCGGCGGCCGCCTGTGCCCGCGGCTGTGTGCTCCGCTTAAAGGGGCCGCTGCGGCCCCGCCCCCGCACCCAGGATGCCCCAGGGCGGGGCGGGGCCGGGGGCGAGGCCCTCCCGCCCCGGTGCCTGGGCGCCACCCTGCGTCGCCGGCCGGAGCGCCCTCTGGCTCTCCGCGTGCAGGCCAGTGCGCAGCCCACTCCGAGTCTCTGCCCCACGCGTGTCCCAGCGCACCCCTTCCGGCTCCCAACCCAGCCCCCGGCGCCCCCTGCCGCCGCCGGACCTCCGGGACCTCACCTGGCCGCCGCCTCTTGCTCACTCCCACCGAAAGCTAAGCGGGGGGTCGACTCTGTCCCCATTGCCCAGATACACCACGGTAGAGAAACTAGGCTACCTTCAAAACATAGAAAGTTCTTAATACGGTAAGCCAAACAAAAGGGGCCGTAAATGAGAGAACTGCAGTAAGCAACTCACAGGAGAAATACTTAAACAGCGGCTACCAGATGTAAAACTGCTTCTCCTCCATCAGACTGGCCAAGCATGGGGCCACACCTGCGTCTCCCACCATCCACACGGGCCCTCCCTACTGGTTGCCCCCTGGCAACCTCCTCCAAACTCAGGTGCCCCACAAGCTGTGGCCAAGACATCCCACTTCTAGACGTCTGCCCTAAGGAAGCCATCCTGACCCACACAGCACCCCACCTGTGCTGCAAAATGATATGCCAAGGACAGGACCCGGGAATGCCCTGTGGCCCTAGTTCCTCCCTCCTTAAGGATGACACCAAGGTCCAGGGACGGGGAAGGTCATTGGAGACTCACTTTCAACTGGGGACCTATGATCCCATTGGTCTGTGCTACTGGGAGGTTGAGCAAAACGTCGCCCCTGCCCCCCCACCCCCCACCAGTGGTGTTTCTTGCTACTTCCTGTTCTCCTGCAGTCCTGCTGGGACTAATACCACCAACACAGAGAGGCTACCTGCTGCCTGAGGTCACAGCGCCCCAGCCTCACCGGCTACCTCCCCGGCTCTCCTAAGTGACTCAGTCTACCCTCCTGGCCACCTCCAGCCTCCTCAACATCCCTCAGGGGTCCTAGTGGGTCCACCAAAAAAACCAAACTCACTGCCATCGGGTTAATTCTGACTCACAGCAACCCCCACTGGGTTTCCGAGGACTAGGTTTCTGAGGATTGGGTTTCTGAGGCTGTAAATCTTTACGGAGGTAGATGCCCCATTTCCCTCCCATGGAGTAGCTGGTGGCTTTGTACTGCTGACCTCTGGTTAGCAGCCAAATGCCTTATCCACTATGCCACCAGAGTGCTTTCCAGTGGGTCCAGTGGGGTCAATAACCCAAAGCCTGAGGACAGAGAGTTAAGTGAGGTCGATTCTGGCACCTCCCTCCACCACCTCCTGCCCCTGCCTTATACCCTCAGCTCAGGCACTCCCCAAAGTAGAAGGGACAGAGCCCAAGTCTCTCTCCTTCCCTGGTCCCACCTTCCAGCTGTCGGACGCCCCTGCCCAGGCCTCTCCCGGTTCCAGTCCTCCTCCTCAGACTGGCAGCTACAGGAAGGCAAGGCCAACCAGGTGCCTACCTCCTCCTGTCCTACCTCTTGTGTGTTCATGGCCCATCTTATCCCCATGGTGGCAGCAACACCAAGGGCCTGGAGAGCCCTGAGGAGCCTGAAAAACTGTCATCACCGCGTCTAGGCTAGGAACTGTCATAAGAACATGGATGGCCTGGTGCCCACAGTCCGGTCCACACCTTAACCTAGTCTCAGAGCAGGAAGTCTAACCTCAACCGTAGCGCAGCTGCCTGCGTGACCAGCAGGTGGCGCTGTGCCGGTCTGCGCTCACCTGGGACCAGCGAGGCCCTTTCAGTTCTCATCCTGTCAAACACCTGAAGGCAGCACACAGCAGGTGCTCGGTCACCAGGGGGACGCCCGAGGCCCTTCGCCATTACCTGCAATGCGGATGACTGCCCGCTCCGCAGGGTCCAGGACGCTCCCGTTTGCCCCGGAGCCAGCCCCACTTCGACGGCTCCGCTGTGTCTTCCCCAGGTTCCAGGGCAGCGTGTCCCCGGGGCTGGGGGAGCCGCTGCCACCGTTGGAATCTTCCTCGGCCACTGGCCGTACCTCGGGATCCTCGCCTGACATGGCCTCCTAGGATGGGGGAGCAAAAGGGGTCACGCTATGGAGGGAAACCTGACACCAATGACCTGACCGCCCTCTCATTCCCACCCACACCGGGACTTGTCCCCTCTAGCACATCGCGGACACCCACGCGCTGACCCCATTCTTCTGTGTGTCATCAAGACACTGACCTCCCTCTGCAGGCTCCCTCAAGTCACCCAGACACCAGCTCCCCAGCCCATCACCAGGACACTAAGCCTGTCCTCCAGCCTCGATCCTGTCAAGGGGAGGCAGCGATTACCTTCCCGGGGACACTGCCCGAACCCCCACTCCCCTCAGGTGCTGACCTCCACAGCGTCCCAGGTCAGGGCCAACTCTGACCCCGCCACGCAGAAGCAAGGACATGCACTGGCCGCTGGCCACAGCCTGCACACTGGCACTCTACCTCCGAGCTGTCTCGAAGACCCCTCTAACACTACCTCTTCCCCACCCCACCCCGCGCAGTCCCACTTGGGTCTCCGCAGTGAACATCTATAAATAGCGGGAGTCACCGCAGTGGCGTGGGCCGCGGGAGCTCGGCTGCGGGAGGCCGAGAGGAGCGGGGCCGCCGCTCAGCAGCCCACCCCGGCTGCACTCCCAGCAGCTCCACAAGCACCGCCAGAACGCACGCACACCCGCGCGTGCACGCCCCCAGTTCCCCCTGCAGGAGCGCTGGCGTGCGGAGGTGAATGGGGCTCTGTCCCGGCGGGGGTGGAGTGCTGTGGGGGCACAATGTGGACTCTGTGCCTCCGCCCTCGGGCTAAGGAGTGGGGAGAGGACCGCGGGCACCCGGCCGGAGCCACCTCGCCCCGCCCCCACCGGCTCCTCGCACGGTCTGGCCGCAGCCCGGCCCTGGCAACCTCTGTCTACCGCTCCTGCCCAGCAACCTTTCCTGCCCACGCCCCGACCGCCGCCCATCCAGTTCCGCAGGCACCGGAGCGCGGGCAGCGGCGCCCTCCGAGGGTCCAAGGGGCCCGGGTGCTCGCGGCCGCCCCCCGCCCACCTCTGCGTCACTGCAGTCCGGACCCGGGTCGTACGTGCCTGGTGGCTCCGCTCGGCTCGGTTCTGCCGCCGCAGCCAGACTGCTTCGCCAGGAGAA